GCTCAAGAATGTTGGACAGGGGTAGAAGAGCTTTCTTATCTCGAACGACAGTTATAGAGCTGTTGTACGCTCTAGTGGAAAGAGTGGTATGGGAAGGTTGCATCTGAGTGAGTGAGGAAAGACCCGGAGGATTGAGAGCTTGTTCCCAGGAGGTGCATTTCGCCTTCAAGCTCAAAACTCTGCGTAATGACTGTTCTATACGAGCTCTGCCAATAATGCCGTTCTCCACACCAAGCTTTAATCCAGTGATCGCCTCCTGTTGCACCGGGAATGACCTGCAGAGAAGAATGATATCGCACCCCGCCTTCTTTGCCATGACTGTCCCACCACCCACCCCGATATTATGAGTGAGGGCTTCCATCTCCAGGCATTCTGAAACCACCACACCGTCGAATTTCATCTTCTTGCGCAACAGATCATCGACAACTTGCTCACTCAGGCAGGCATGCATCACGTGGAACCCAGCAGACGACATAGAAACACCTCCCACCATCATAGAATCAATTCCATGGAGTATGGCATTTCGAAATGGAACTAGTGCGCTCAAGCTGAGTTGTTCTAGCGACTCGGTGATAATAGGGACGTCTGACTGGGATCCAAGAAATTCAAGGTTACCATATGATGGGAAATGTTTGCCGCATGTCACCAACCCTGCTTCCTTATAGCCCTTCATGAATTCCACTCCGTATTGCGATACCTCTTGGGGGTCATCGCCCGTGGTACGAACTCCCAAGGGTTGGCTTCGTACGTTGGTCAAGACATCTAACACGGGGCCGAGAATCCAGTTGACTCCTACAGCTTTCAGTTCTTGGGCAGTTGCAACAGCGACATCATGGGCGAGAGCTTTCGAGCCTGTCGCAGCGATGCCCATTGCGCTAGGAAATTGTCGGACGTATATCTCATCGTAGAGACTATTCACACCTCCATTTTCCTGGTCCAAGGCGATGAGCAATGGCACTGGATGACCGGCATCCCGAGCGATTGTTTGGAGCTCGAGCACCAATCGCGTCGCATCTTCTGCAGCTAGAAAGTAAATTAGTGGTTATCGTACATGTGATGCGGCCGTAGGAAGGTAAGATAGATACGAGAGTAGGATCAACAGTGAGAGAGGAAGGCAGAGATACATTTCAAGTTCTTGGCAGTCAGTAGGATTGAGCCCAAGTGATAATTCTCAATGAGAGAGCGAATTTGAGGATCAACGGACGTTCCATCAAAGCCCATCATAAAGAGCTGCCCCATCTGCCTGTCAGGAAAGCCATAGTACTCAAATCGTTAGCGAGGATCATTCTTCCGGTAAAAGGAAAATAAAATCAATGTAGCGGATAAGGATCAGAAATCCGGTAACCAAAAGTGGGAAAAAGGAAAGAAAAGGAGAAAGGTGAAATGAGATGAAATGGAACAATGGACAGATTGGGAAAGGCAAAAGGTGAATAGCTGCAATCGGCCGTGACCTCTCCGCAAGCGGTGGTGCACAGTCCACGATGGAGAACCGCGTGCCTGACAGAATTGCTGCATACCTGTCTAGATCATCCCAGCCAGGGGGCAGCATATCCTCTCTTGGGGCCATGAGGGCCCTGAATAAGGAATGCCAGCTTAAAATCTAACACAATGAAATGGGCAAGAGTGATCTGGCCCACACAGTGACCATCAGGTTTCCAAGGTCGATATCGGGTGGGCAAAGGATTAGGTTGGGACGCGCCGCAAACGATGTCGGAGAATACGGCAAGGGCTAAAACCGGCAGTTGGATACTACAGATCAACTTAGGAATAGGGTAGTTAGGATTCATCCGAGCATGACCAGGGGCAAATGACTGGACGGGTCACTTTGCAAGGCTGCAAGCTATGAGCAGGAGCTTCAACGGGTGGTGGTCAGTGCGTAACGAATGATATTGCATGGAGAGTGTGGGGGCGAGGAGAAGAAAGATTTCAGGTCAAGAATAGTATAGTTAGTTAGTAGTACGGAGTAGTTGAAGTGGTCTCGAGTACTGGAATGGGTAAAACTTTCTTGGACATTTGTTCTAGGAAAAGAGGTGTCGGTGCAGTAACCACAATGATACTCCGCGAAAAATTTTTTTTCCCCCTTCACACTGGTACAATAGAAGCAATATTCCCTAGGTTGAAATATCCTTGGCAGTATTGGAACCCGAATTCTGTCGAGGGCATCGGAAAGCCGGGGGGTCACCTGGTCAGATCACGTGTAAATTTTCGTTCTTGTGTGATACCATTATTTCTTGTCGTACCATACAAAACTATTATAACCACTTTACGTACTAGTCAATACGTGTATTGACATCAGATTACAAAAAATTCCCGCCTACCTGCCGAGAGTCCCATCAATCGATACGACGCCACGGCAGATAAGAGAGGGTTGCATGGGGGTTCCGATCCCTTCCCCGGTTTCCCGATCCTACCGAATGCAACGGCACTGTCAAGCAATTCAAACTGTGATTTGCCATTCCATTATAGGCTTAGTGCCCCAGTGCAGCTCCAGTTGACATTTGTTTTATGCCACCCCCTCGTGCAACATTACGTTGAAGTGAAGGATGGACTTGTCATCTTCACTGTTTCCTAGGTAGCTAGGGTACAATCCATGACAAAGGTTGTTCATTTCCTGACGCGGACACGACTGGTTGATTGGATAACCAGTGGGAAGTGTATGCGTCATCAGTCCACTGCAACGATGCTACTCTTTCCTCGGCAACAATGGTATTGAACTGGAACATACAGGAAGGCGAAGAGTTGGGAACTGAACTCCATGGGGCATACCCCGTTGTATATCTTGTTTATCGCGTCTTGGTAGAGACTGTATGGATATGGATTGTTACTACTCTTTCCGGCACGGGCCTCCATTCGGGTCAAGTGACATTCATTCCTCATGGCCGGGGGAGAGGAATAAAAATCAGATTGTGATAAGACGGTGGTAAAGGCAGTATCATGCCGTAACACTCCACAGCCGATCCCAGGGCCTGCCAGGTAACTGTAACAGGTCCATTGGTGGATGGGGCAGATGGCCACCTCGACTTTCTCCCATATTAGTACTTACTTGCCTCTTTGTCCACAGTCCCCTTCTTCTCGTGCTCTTCATATTTCTCCCTTCTCCAAGATATCTTTGAATCCTTTCCCTATACCAAACATCTCTGATTGCCTGGAATATATATCCTTCATATTTCGGGAAAGAAAAGCCCCAGGTTTATTCGAAGACTCTCGTCTCTGCCCCACTGCGTTATCGGTGACGTAGCCTAGTTCATCATGTATGGCACTATCTGTCTTTCCTTAGGCTGGGTTGAACTAGGCCCCAAGCTAACCATGTCCCTTCTGTGTTCAGGAGAGTGATCATCAGAGAAACCGCCTTGGAGGCTTCAGAGTACATCGCCGACTATATCATCAGTATGTCGTTGCCTCAGTTGGCATCCATGATGGCTTGGGCTCTTTCTGACTTTACGCTCTCATAGGTCGCATCAAGGCCTTTAAGCCGACACAAGATCAGCCATTTGTTCTTGGTCTTCCGACGGGGAGTAGTCCCGAAGTAATCTACAAGACCCTCGTGCAACGTCACAGAGCAGGAGACATCTCCTTCAAGAATGTTGTGACCTTCAATATGGTAGGCTTCCGATATTTGCTGAAACCACACCCTCTATCAATGACATCAAGTCGTGTGCTAATTGCTGCAGGATGAATATGTTGGGTTACCTCGCGACCACCCTCAATCATACCACAGCTTCATGTATAAACATTTCTTCTCTCATGTTGACATCTCGCCTCAGAATATCAATATTCTTGATGGGAACGCTTCAGATCTCGCTGCTGAATGCGCGTCTTTTGAGGCGAAGATCGCTCGCTACGGCGGTATCGAGCTCTTCCTGGGTGGTGTTGGCCCAGACGGACACATCGCATTCAACGAGCCAGGATCGTCACTCAGCAGTCGCACTCGAGTTAAGACCCTGGCTTATGACACAATCTTGGCAAACTCCAGGTTCTTTGGTGGAGATGTGAACAAGGTACCCCGAATGTCCTTGACCGTCGGTATCCAAACCATCATGGAAGCTCGGGAGGTCGTTATTGTGGCTACTGGCGCCCACAAGGCACTGGCAGTGGAGAAGGGCCTCGAAGGTGGTGTCAATCATATGTGGACACTTTCAGCCCTCCAGTTGCACCAACATCCGCTGATCGTATGTGATCGTGATGCGACTCTGGAACTCAAAGTCAAGACAGTCCGATATTTTGAGGCGATTGAAAAATCCGGTACTGATGCGCGTACTCAAGGGCCGCCTCTTGTTTACCGGCCGAGGACCTATGTACCTGCTCCTATAGGGGCGAGCAAAACGAATCAGCAACCCACCCCAGCGTCGACACCGCCAAGGGTCCCCAAGGATCTGAGAATCAATACTCAGCTCAACCAGACGTTAGATGACGAGGAACTGACGCCTGATAGCATGTCTTCCCGAATGGTCGATTCAGCCATCAGTGGACTCGACTCGACCTTGAAGGGGGATCTGATGTTTGACCGCATGGGCACTAGAGTCATCTCGCACTGATCAAACTCAGCGACAAAGATATTATAAGACGTACACTGATGGCTAGGTGAAAGCGTTCTGAGTTGGTACGTTGCCATCGACAAGGTATCTGGGCTACAAGTAAATTTGCCGATAAAGCGCTTTATTTTGTTTCATTTGTTCTGGAGTAAGGTACATTTTTTGATTTGATAGCCTGGATGGACATACCAGGTACTTTTTTTTTTAACCAATATTCATAGACGGCTTGGTGTTTCTATCCCTACCTAACGAACTTTTTCATAAAAGATAGATTAGACAATAATGAGATTAGACTGTGTTTGCATGGAATTACGTGGTTGATTTCATTTTATTCATGTCGTAAAGTGTGTATTGTGCATTTTAAGGTTCATATATCTTGAGTCATTTATATACCGCGGAGCGCTCAGGAAACGTATAGACATAAGTGGCGGCCCCACCCATTTAAGAACATTTGTGCCAGTCATTGACCTAGAGCTTAGCAAATACAGTTGCGACGGCACCATTCATGTCGACAAGGGTGCTTTTGTTCTTCACCCAAGCTTCAATGCCCCTACGGCCGTTCTCAACGCCGAGGCCGCTCTTCTTCCACCCACCAACTGCCATTTCAGCTGGGCTTTCACCCCAGGTATTCACCCATGTGATACCCGCCTGAAGTTGGTCGATAACGCGATGGGCCAAGTTGACATCCTTGGTAAAGACACCTGCCGCCAGACCAAGTTCGGTATTGTTGGCCCGTCGGACTGCTTCCTCAATGGTATCGTAGTACAAGATCGACATTACGGGACCAAATATCTCCTCCTTGACAATAAGCATGTCATCCTTGCAATCAGTGAAGATTGTGGGCCGAACCCAGAATCCGTTCACTAACTCCTTTGAAACTTGAGGCTTGCCGAGCCCGCCGTAAAGGAGGGTGGCCTTGTCCGTCTCGATACCATGACGGATATATGATATCACCTTCTCAAGATGGACGGCGGAGCTCAAGGGGCCGAAGTTGGTAGCTTCATCGAACAAGGGGCCGGGGCGAATGTACTGCATCTTTTCGAGCAGGCGGCTTTCAAAAGCTGCCTTCATGCTAGAAGGCACAAACACACGGGTGCCATTGGTACAGACCTGACCGGTGCTGTAGAAGTTGGCCATCATAGCTCCATCAACGGCGTTTTCAAGCTCTGCATCAGGGAGGATAACCAGAGGGCTTTTCCCTCCAAGTTCCATGGTCACGTATTTCATGTGGCCAGCGGCAGAACCGGCGACCTTCATTCCAGTGGCCACTTGGCCAGTGAAGGAAACCTTGGCAATTGTTGGGTGGGAGGTCAGGTAAGCACCAACATCACCGGCGCCATAAACAATGTTGAACACACCATCAGGAAGTCCAGCTTCCTTGTAAATCTCTGCCAGAGTCTGCGCATGAAGCGGCGTGAATTCACTGGGCTTGTAGATCATGGTGTTTCCAGCAGCAAGGCAAGGGGCAGATTTCCAGAGGGCACTGTTTCAGTTAGTCACGATTCAAGCTGTGGTGCGGGTAAAACTGCGATGGCAATACCCAATCGGATGTCATACATTTGAATGGGATAATTCCATGCACCAATTCCTGCGCAGACTCCCAAGGGAGCCTTTTTAGTGAACACCCAAGCGTCTTCTCTCAGCTGAGTGGTCTCCCCGTTCAAACCACCACCCCCAACAAGGTTCGCATAGTACTCCAAAACATCGGCACCCGTGACAACATCCACTGTACTGGTCTCTGTGAAAGCCTTTCCAGAATCTAAAGATTCGACCCGAGCGATTTCGTCATTTCGTTCACGGAGTATGAGAGACGCCTTCTGGAGAATACGTGCGCGAGCAATAGGAGGGGTTTGTGACCAGTGGGTAAATGCTCGATCGGCGGCAGCGATAGCTGCATCAATATCAGAATGGGAGGCAACTTGTACTTCAGCAAGCGGGGTGGCATCAGAAGGGTTGACGGATTGAAAAGTCTTGCCGGACGAGGCAGACTGAACTTTGCCGTCATAGAAGAGTTGGCGCGGAGGGAGAGGAAAGGACGACATGATAGGCGTCAATATTAAACTGGTAAAAGATTAGTTTTCTAAGAGGGGGTGAAGGGAGGAGGGGAGTTCATATGTAAGACTTCCAGTTGTGCCAATTTATATCATACTACGAACTATGGTATCTTCTCGGAATGACGGAGGAGCAGGGAAAAAAATGTTGTCAGGAGGAAGACCTTAAGCTTTTACGTACTCCAGACCGCCAAAGCTATGATTCGCTACCCCTCACCTATATCTGGATCTTCGGCGGCAAACTGAAGAGCAGAAAAACTTTTTTGTTTCTGTGTTTTGTTAGCTTTTTCGCCTTCTTCCATTTCTTCCCCGGCCGGGATCTCGGTAACCTTCCAAACCAGGAAAAATAACCATTAAACGTTTCCAATTACATGGAATAAATGGCAGCACTGCCATTCTTCTACCTATTTCGGAATTCTTACGCATCATCCAAGGGCAGTGTTATCTCAATATTCAATTGTGGATATTCTCCGTTGAGCTGCCTTGTTGGGTTAACGGTTGGCCCGTGCATTCGTTCGTGGCGTAATTTAGCGCGAAACCTCGTGTGGGGTTTGACGTCGTGAGGCGGAAGAGAAGTTTCATGGAACTGTGCTCCGTATATAGAAGGGACGTTCGACTAGTAACATAGCGAGTCATGCCTTTGCTATCGATTGATATTATCTCCAGTAGATGGAAAGAGCAGTAGTGGCTCAACCTAGCATAACTTCTCCGATTTGCCGGGTGCTTCAATACTGAATTTTCGATCGTCTCGGACATCAATTAAGATGGATGGATGGATACTGATCAACGATTCTCGATGCAAATTCTCTATTATCTAATCTGCAGTGGCGGATCCACTTTCAACACTTCCATTCACCGCCATTGGTTAACTCATTCCTTTCCAGGTGACCCGCCGAAGGGATCCAAAAGTAGGTAAAGATTGGAATCATGAGAAAGGAAAAACAAAAAAGAGTTTGTCAGTAAAAAAGAAGTGGTGGTCTGATGGCCGATGGCCGACGGCCTGCATCACCGAATAATTCCTTCCTCCAATTTAAAAGTCGGAGTTATCTCCTCTCTTTTTCTCTTCTTTTTCCCTCAAATCATACCTCCTCTTCTCTCAACCCTCTCCCCTCTTACCTATATCTTCTTGTATTTTTAAGTGGATTCTTGTACCTTTCTCAACATGGCTACCACGAATGATTTCCCGGCCGGTGATGTCAACAGCTACGACTATATCATCGTTGGAGGTGGCACGGCAGGCTGTGTCATTGCCAGCCGTCTGGCGCAGTACTTGCCCAACAAGCGTATCCTTGTCATCGAAGGTGGTCCCAGCGACTTCAACGATGACAGGGTTCTCAATTTGAGAGAGTGGCTCAATCTGCTGGGAGGCGAGTTGGACTACGACTATCCTACTACCGAGCAGCCCATGGGTATGTTATACGCCGCTATTTTTTTTTTGGTCTTTGTGTGTAGAGCGGAGACACAAGGCTCTGAGGAGACTTTGGAAAGGAGAAGCCTCATTTGTTAACTTTCTTGATCCACAGGCAACAGCCATATCCGTCATTCGCGCGCTAAAGTCCTTGGTGGTTGCTCTAGCCACAATACCCTTATCTCTTTCCGTCCGTTTGAATATGACTGCCAGAGGTGGGAACAGCAAGGTTGCAAGGGCTGGTCCTTTGAGACCTTCACCCGCATTGTGGACAACCTGCGCAATACCTTTCAACCTGTCCACGCTCGTCACCGCAACCAGCTCTGCAAGGATTGGGTTGAGGCTTGCTCCTCTGCTATGAACATCCCCATCATTCCTGACTTCAACAAGGAGATCCGCGAGAATGGTAAGCTTACTGAGGGTGTTGGATTCTTCAACGTTTCTTATAACCCGGACGACGGCCGCCGTAGCAGTGCCAGTGTCGCTTATATCCACCCCATCTTGCGGGGTGAGGAGAAGCGCCCCAACCTGACTATTCTAACCAACGCCTGGGTATCTCGCGTGAATGTTGAAGGAGACACCGTTACCGGTGTCAATTTGACCTTGCAGTCGGGCGCCAAGCACACCCTGCGGGCCAAGAAGGAGACCATCCTGTGTGCCGGTGCTGTAGACACTCCTCGCCTAATGCTGCTCTCTGGGTTGGGTCCTCAGAACCAGCTAAACTCCTTGGGAATTCAAGTGGTTAAGGACATCCCTGGTGTCGGTGAAAACCTCCTGGACCACCCGGAGAGTATCATTATGTGGGAGCTCAACCGCCCCGTTCCCCCCAACCAGACCACCATGGACTCTGATGCTGGCATCTTCCTGCGTCGCGAGCTTCCTAATGCCGCTGGTTCTGATGGCCGTAGCGCCGATCTTATGATGCACTGCTACCAGATCCCATTCGATCTCAACACCAGTCGCCTCGGATACGACGCTCCTGTTAATGCTTTCTGCATGACTCCCAACATTCCTCGCCCCCGCTCTCGTGGCCGTATCTACCTGACCTCGGCTGACCCCAACGTGAAACCAGCTTTGGATTTCCGTTACTTCACTGATCCCGAGGGTTATGATGCTGCCACCATAGTTGCCGGTCTCAAGGCAGCTCGTGAGATTGCCCAGCAGGCTCCTTTCAAGGATTGGATCAAGCGTGAAGTTGCCCCCGGTCCCAAGGTCCAGACCGACGAGGAGTTGTCCGAATATGGTCGTCGTGTGGCCCACACTGTCTACCACCCTGCCGGAACCACAAAGATGGGTGATGTTTATCGTGATCCTCTGGCAGTCGTTGATCCTCAGCTGAAGGTCCGTGGCCTGAAGAATGTCCGTATTGCTGACGCCGGTGTCTTCCCTGAGATGCCCAGCATCAACCCAATGTTGACAGTACTGGCCGTCGGAGAGCGTGCTGCTGAGTTGATTGCTGAAGAGGCTGGATGGAAGCGTGAGCAACCCCGTCTGTAAACTTGTCTTTGGTCCCTTACTCGGGATACCTCGCTGTTTTGCGAAGGCAACTACCTAGGGGGTATATACGAGCGGCATTGGAAGTACTCGGATGTCGTACGATTCATGACTTATGTCCACAACATCGAATTGAAAACATGAAAAACGCAAAAAAGACGAGGTGGGAGTTCTTCATCGCTACGTGTTGCACTCTTGGCAGTGGATAGGGCTATTGTATTACCTATCCCATATCTTGTATTCCTGTACTTATTCCTATGATTTTGAGCGATTACAGTTTTAGCGCCTGTACGTAGCGCCATCGGGCTCTATAGAAATTATTCCAAGATTTCAAACCAGGTGTCCGTCCACATAATCGCTTAATTGGTAGAAAGAGCATGGTCGAAGTAGAAAGACAGATGCACAGGATAAAGTAGTCATCGCGGGCAACGGTTTTCCCCCAATCTTAATATTTTTGGTCTAATCTGTATGAAGGATTCTATAGTCTTAATTCTATCGTGAATTGCTCTCCAGAATACAAGAATAACAGCTACGAGGTATAAATGAAAGTAATGAACGACATCGGCAAAAAGACAAATCACGCTGTTTGATACACAAAACAAAGAGACACTCAAGAATAGGAGGTAGCTATAGGAGAAGGATAGGATAAGTAAGGTAATCTAACGGGCAATTAAAAAGAGATAGCACAACCACAAACCGGGATAGTATAGCATGTGTATAGCACTCTGAAGGCGTTAAGCCTCACTGTTGGCAGCTTCCTTCTCAGCATCATAGATCTTGACGCCGCGCTTCCAGACTTGATCAATCGTCAAGGTAGGCCCAGAATAAGGATCTGGTGCGTCAGTTAGGACGACCAGATCTGCATCTGCATCACAGTCCAATGTTCCCTTGACACCTTCAAGTCCCAAGAGACGTGCGGGTGTGGCAGTAACCGCATTCAGGGCCTCCGCGGTCGACGCACCGGACCATCGGCGGAAGTTGTTCACACATTCGATGAGGGTGGCGGAGCTGCCTGCAATCTTATCTGACCCCTCAAGCGTCAACCGAGCTCCAGTTTTGACAATGCGCTCCCCGTTGGTCCAATCGTAGACACCATCCGGGAGACCGCACAACTTCATGGCGTCAGTCACGAGAATGAGACCGTTTGGATGGGCGTTGTACGCAATTCGAATTGAGGTGGGATGGAGATGGATGCCATCGGCGATGACACCATAGAAAGGTCGGCGGAGCTCATTTTGGCCCAGAAGACCAAATACGCCAGGGTTGCGATGGTAAAAGGGCCGCATAGCATTGAAAAGATGGGTAATCATGGTCGCGCCTTGTTTGGTGGCGCTCATAGCTTGCTCATATGTTGCATCTGAATGTCCAATTGAATAGATAATATCTTGGGCGGTCAGGTTTGGAATATTGTTGACCATGCTGCCCACTTCGGGGGCAGCTGTGATCATTTTTACTGTTTTCGACGGCCCGAACATGTTTTCCTTGCCATAGCAGCTAACAACATCTTCAAAATTCTTCGCGGCACGCAAAACATCAGTTTTGTGGATGCCATTGCGGCCGGGGCTGATAAAGGGACCCTCCACATGGGCACCCAGCGACTCTGCACCATCTTCTGCGCGATGCTTGGCTCCAGAAGGACCTAAAGATGGGAGGACCTAAAGAATATGTTAGAAGCTTTGATATTAATATTTATATTTGCATATATCCTGTATCGAAGGGCAGCAAGGAGCCAACAACTTCAAAGTAAAAAAAAAAAAAGGTCGGACATACTTTCCAGTAAACCTCTGGCGTTGAACTAACGACGGTTGGGAGATATGATGTCACACCGGTTTTGGCGAGGCCCTTATTGACCATGCGCAACCCTTCATCATATTCCTCTTTTGAAGCTTTGGGAACAGAAAAATCAAAGCCTTGGGCACCGTTTAACTGCACATCGATAAGTCCTGGAGCAAGGATTCGGCCACCCAGATCGATGACCTCATCGGGAGACATGTGCAATTCATAAAAGGCCTCCTGATCGCGAAGAATCTTTCCAGATAGAGAGTCAACCCAGACATCTTGCTCGACGAGTTGGTTACCGTGAACAATCCGGCAGTTGGTAAATTTTGTTATACGTGGTGGGGTAGCTGTTTTGCCAGGCATGGTGAGGAGCATCCGTTTGTTGGTGACGATGATGCAGAGAGCAAGAAATGTCTTCGCAGTTGCTGACAAGAAAACAATAGATCATCCACAAGAATAAGAGGAGGACCGAAGGAAAGAGGGGAAAATTATGTATATGAATAGGGAGTAAATGAAGATTTTTCGAATTAAAGACAGAATGTGAAAGGCTACATCATGGACAGATAGTAACATCCATCACGGCCGACAGACACACGCAAATGGAACGGGAATGTCATCCAGAAAACGTGTGAAGGAGATCTACATGCAGTGGCTCCACGAGGCGTCTATTGTCTCTTGAGGTTGCCTCCCATGGGGGAAAAAGTCCCACTACATGAGAATGTGACATCGACAGGAACGAGGGGGATGTGACGTCTATGGCCTGATGGGGCGTGACAAGAGATTAATATTAGGAACTAGATTCCATGGGAAGGAAGAGGGGTTCTTCCCATTGTGATGTATCACCAGGTACTTTTTCCCCTTAGGAATAAGAAGAGGGAAAATAAAAGATGAATGCGATTCATACATCCATCAATGCAATCCCCTGGTGTAGTGAATACAACCTGTTCTGGAGTATAGAGTGGCTAAGTCAGTAATATGATTGGTAGGGGGTTGATTAGTCATGAGGTAGATATAGCAATGTGTTATATACTAGTTCCGCTAAGGGTACCAATACATACCGTCTTCATACCGATTGCAACCATACAGTTAAATTACCATACAGGGAGTGTTTATGTAGGGCATTGCAGACAAGATCTGCATCCACCTCTGTGTATATTACAGACCAGTACCATCTGTACCATATAAAAAATAAATTAGTAGTACAGGTACTATAGATTGTGCATGTATTAGTAGGGATTGTTCTGCAAGAAGACACTAGGTAGATGAGCTTATTCAATCATTGTACTGACTATTCCTTCTGCTCAACACTGATATGATATAATGAATTGCCATTTCTTTTTTTCCATTTCTGTAGGGAGAGCTTTACTGCTACTAACTGTACGGTTTCATCAAGACCCACCAATACTACGCTACGACTACTGTACCAGCGGAAACTCAATTTGCCTCCCCGCATTCGGCATCGCCTTGGACGGGTCAAGGTTGCAAACAGTCAATGCTACCGTCCCCTTTGGCTTTTCGTTGCTTTCCCATGGAACGATTCTGGTTGGACAGTGGATAAGTCTAGAGATAACCAGCCACACTTTGGGAAAAGTTCGTGGATCGCGTCTTAGCTGTAAGCGACTTGCTACTATGGTAGGGAAAGGGAAAGAAAAAAGGAAAAAGTATTACAAGACCCAATGAGAGAGAGATATTTTACGCTCAGGATGTCTCCTCTCTCCTTCTATTTCTTTATTCACCACTTATCGATGTATATCTCGGCAATAAATCCATTCTCTTTATCATAGATAGCACCGAATATAGAAATAGAGACTAGACTATAAGACTAAACAGGACTAAAAAATGTATGAATGAACACGCGACTCGGGGACTGAGACATAACAGTTATGACCCTAAATTGTCATTCTTAATCTTGGAAAAACTCTTTTATTTTTCAAGCCCTCCCTTTCCTGTTACTCAATCATCCCCATTTCGACTTGTCTTTTGGTTTAGGGCTAGTTTCCTCTTCTGTTATTTACCAAATTGTTTCGCGCATTTAGGACTCCTATTTCCCGATCGGCAATCTATTCATTCGCTGCAGTTTCTCCGCAATTTCCACTGGAGTCGTGGAGAGAGTGTGATCAAGAGATCCGAACTGTGGTTGTCGATTCCTAGGCAGTTCTTGGGTTGATTCTCCGCTGCACCCTTCCTTTTATAGGGTTTATTTGTTGGGTTCTCCTTCTCTTTTCCTCAATTTTTTTTTAGCCCTCCTTAATTCTCGGACTGCAACACTCGTGGAAAGGAAATTTCCACGACATTATCAGTCTTGACTTGACATCGTGCAAAAACACTGATACCGGGTCAACGCAACATTAGATCAAGGTATGTTGTGTGTCTTCGCTTTTCTTCGAGAATCATGGCTTTGTCTCTCCTCCCCACTATCAAATCGTAGATGTAGTATTGTTGTCATCTATGGTGGTATCCGCAGGTCTACACTACACTACACTACACAATTACACATCATTTGAAGTTTACAAGCACCAGCTGGATGCTACTTTGAAGCCCCAATCCCAAGATACTCCGCTTAAAACATATGGGGTTGATCGGATTCTGCTATTAATATCCCATATTTGTTTCGCTTTTTCCCTCTTCTTCCTTACCCCAGATTGAGATCCCCATCACAACAAACATTGAACATTCCTTCCTTCCATTGTTTTTGTCTCCGCTTGTGTTGTGGTGTCATTCTGTGCTACTTCAGTCTTGCGAATTCTTTGTATAATACTTATATTTTCCAAAACGGAAAACCACCCGACCTAACTTTTCTTCTTCTTCTTTTTTGTCTACAGATTTGATACCCTTCTATTTGTTCCTTCCATTCACTTGCTTCCGGTAACTTCCCTTTTCTTTTCTCTCTCTCTCTCCTTTTCCATTTTTCTTGCCTTTTTTGACATGTGTATCCCTCTCCCTTTTCTTTTGTTTATCTCGTTCCACCTGTTTGCCCCCCTTTTCCCTTGTCTCCTACATTCTTCCTCAACCCTTGCTCTCACTCTCCTTCTTCAAGCTTCACCACCACCAAGCATTCCATCCTTGTCTCTCTTTCTCCCCTTTTAATATTTCTTTGATCCACTCTTGTGCATTAGACTGAGCTTGAACATTCCACTTTCAGGTACTGACCGCTTTGAAGTGAACTGCTACTCTCCTAACAAGCTTTTATCCAGCCTCTTATCACAGCCCTGAGGTTTTCCCTTCCTGCATCCTTCAAGCAATGGGTAACTCAACAGTTGGCGATGATAATCCTGCGGAGAAGGAGTTTGCTGCCGCCACGTCGGATCCTGAGGCTGGTCAGGACTCCGTCTCGGGGAAGCCATGGATGTACAAGTCTTGGAAGATTGGCCCTTTAACGCTGCCCTGGTTTGCACACCCGATGACCCAGCTCGTTCTGGTCTCCTTTGTTTGTTTCCTTTGCCCTGGCATGTTCAATGCTGTGAGTGGCCTTGGGGGCGGTGGCCAGGTCGATGCAACCGATGTTAACAAGGCCAATACCGCATTATACAGCACATTTGCCGTGGTAGGCTTCTTCGCTGGTTCCATTGCAAATCGGATTGGCCTCCGCCTGACTCTTTCGTTTGGTGGATTTGGATACTTCCTCTATGTGGCATCTCTTCTGTCATATAACCATAACGCCAATGCCGGCTTCCTGATCTTTGCTGGCGCACTACTCGGTGTCTGTGCTGGGTTGTTGTGGTGTGCCCAGGGAGCCGTCATGATGAGCTACCCACGTGAACACGAAAAAGGCAAATACATCTCCATCTTCTGGGTGATTTTCAACCTCGGTGGCGTGATCGGCAGCCTGGTAAGTTCTTTTGCTCCCGTATCCTGCTCTCGTATATGGTAGGTGAGGAGACACTAATGATTCCGTTCGTACGTATAGGTACCTCTGGGCCAGAATCTGCATTCTACCGCTGGTAGGGTCAATGATGGCACTTACATAGCTTTCATGGTCCTTATGGCAGTCGGTTTCGTTCTCGCATGGGGCTTATCTGATTCAAAGTACATTATGCGCTCGGACCGTTCACGTGTCATTGTCATGAAGAATCCCTCCTGGAAATCAGAATTCAAAGGTCTTTTTGACACCCTGCGCAGTGATTATTACATTATCCTTATGTTCCCTCTGTTTTTGTCGAGCAATTGGTTTTACGGTTACCATTTCAATAGCGTCAATGGCGCCTATTTCAATGTCCGCACTAGGTCTCTCAACAGCTGCCTCTATTGGCTCATGCAAATGGTCGGTGCCTTCGTCTTCGGCTTTACTCTGGACATGAAGTTCTTTTCTCGGTCAATGCGCGCAAAGATAAACTTCGTCCTACTCTTTCTTCTCACGTTGGGTGTTTGGGGTGGCGGTTATGCCTTCCAGAAGCAGTATACTCGTGCCGACGCGCCGCTTGATACGGACTGGTCGGATAGTGGCTACGTTGGTCCTATGTTCCTTTATATGTTCTATGGTTTCTACGACGCTGCCTTCCAGACCTGCGCTTATTGGTTAGTTCCCCGCCTTTCTTTGCCTCGTCGCCCACACATCACCTGCCCCGTTCAAATTACGAAACTCAGGGGTTGATGATTAATTTCTGTATTACAGGTTTATGGGATCACTTACCAACAACGCCCGCAAATTGGCAAACTTTGCCGGCTTCTACAAGGGAATTCAGTCCGCTGGCGCAGCGGGAATGTGGGCGTAAGTGACTATACAATTGTGTCTTCCCAATTGAATGCCTCAAACCTTTACTAACGACTCCCTTCCATAGCATGGACCTTGATAAGGCTCCTTTCATGACCGAGCTTGCCTCTTGTTGGGGTCTTCTCCTCGGCAGTCTTCTGATTGCATCCCCCATCATCTTCTTCAAGATTAAGGACCATGTGGACATCGAAGAAGATCTCAAATTCTCCGATGAAACAGCTCATGACGTCATGGGTAACATCCCTATGGAAGAACAGACATCTGGAAAGAGGGAGGAGAAGCGGACGTCTGTCGCTTAACCCTACCTAGTGTCCATCGTTTGCTGCTTATCTGGATGTATTTCTTTTTTACGCTAAGGTCAACAGTTGATATCCATGGTGACATGTTTGGGTAGCCTCAGTGGAAAGTTTCTCGTTTACTCTTTACCCCAAGGTACACTCGGGCCTACAGTTTGTGATGTACCATTGGATTAATGCTCAAACAAAAACATGTATTTAATTACCCCCAGTTGTCACGAATGATTTAATATAAGAATTTAACGGATCTCTGTCTTCTGACGTAAACTGAGAAAGCCGAGATGGACTGTTATATAATTTGCAGCTGGATTACGTGCTCATACCCCTGGTTCCTATGGCACACCTCGAAGTGACAAAAGTTTATGTCTTTCCACACAAACTCCGTACCTGCATATGTATATACTGCTACGTTTTGGACATTACATTTCTGCTTCAGGCAACGTGACGTCATATTGTTTCAACTGTCTCGTCATATGCTATGCCATCAGTGGATTCCTATGACGCCAGCACTGGACATGCCGGTAGCCGTAGGCAGCGACACAGACGACTGCGTATGTGTGGCCGTGGCCGTTCCGTTCGTCTTGTAGCTGGGCCAGACCTTTTTCTGGCCCTCTGCGATATCCCAACCAAAGAGCGTCCGGTTAAACAATTGCAGGGAGGCGATGGGCTGGTAGTAGGGGACTTCATGGCCTGCCTCATAGACACGGGTGAAGGAGAAATTACCATACTCGCGGGTTTCCCCATACTCTACGCCGTTGACTTTCAGGGGCGTGTACCCTGCGCTTCGGAACTGGGCGGCGTGGGAGTAGTTCGCGGCGAGGGAAACGGCCTCGCCGCCAAACCAGTTGCAGATGTAATCGGCGTCGCCATAGATGAGGGAGACACGCACGGGGAGAGCGAGGATCTCCTCGAGGTCTTCGATGAAGTTGGGCCAGACGAAGTCGCCCTTCTGCTGGAAGGCGTAGTAGACATCATTGTTGGACTGGGTGTAGTTGATGTTGACGCCAATGGCGTCCATGACAGAATCCTTTGCCAGGAAATCGTTGTAATAACTTGGCGGGGTTGGGTCCTGACACCATATTAGGGATTGTATTCGTTACATCAATGAACGATGCATCGCGTGGCATGCAGTGCGAATATAGGGGGAAAACTCTACTTACATCGTATGGATGCCGAATATCATACACACCACGACCACCAAAGGCGTAGTATGGCCCTTCTATTACCCGGGTTAAATCATGCCTTGTGTTTCAGGGAGGGAAATAAACGTACCAACATTGTCTCTGCACATGTTGGTAGCTTCGGCGCAGAGGGCGTAGTCAGCTAATGCGGTGCGGTTTGTTTGTTTGCAAGCGGAAATCATATCTTGGCAACCGTTTGGCATTTGGTTGGCAAACTTCATGTAATTGTAGACGGTCTCGTTGACCTTTTCATGGTGATGAGTGTTAGTGGGAATTATCCCATGAGCATAAGCGGAAACTCACAGCCTTGATACCATAGGTATTGTTCACAGCGAATTCGGGGTAGTAAGGCGCCTGTGGGCATAGGTTAGCAGCTTTGTTCGGAGGGTATTATATAGGCTGTTTCGATGGTATACCTGGATTGCCTCGTCGATGATGCCGTTGATAATTCCTAGAGAGTTGAAGTTAAGCTGGACACCATCAATAGTACCGTTGGCAATTCTCTCATTCTGCTCATAGAAATGATTGAAGAACTACGTCCATTAATTAGTCTTACATACGTTGACATCTCGTCCAGGTAGAACTCACTGCAGGACCATAGTGCCTTTGAGCCGAAGGCAAACGGTCAGCGCAACCATCACAGTCATTAAAAGACTCGCAGAAGGAAACCACCTACCCTCCGTAACTCTCCGTCCATAGACTGAAGTCCTTAGATTTTATTCTAGAGTCCAATTTCGGCAGTCCACCAAGAAATCCTTGAAGGATTTCCCACGCGGCCTCTGCGGCAAGATTAGTAGTATCTGCTGTCGTATCAGTAAATGGAAACATGTGGCCAGGAAGAAACCAGTACCGATTAGAGTGGCATCAATGGTTGGGTAGCGGCCCTGAACTCCTGCGAAGCTGAATTCTCGACGACCCCAGTGACAGGGTTAATGGACCCATCAACTGTATCACTATAAGAAAATCCTATGGGCAGAACATCGTAAGTATAGGAAGACCGCGCAGTAGGGGAGGGCGCTGCAATCCATACCAACTCCCAATGGCTGGGACAGGAATAGTAAATTGGAGACCTCGTTCCACGAGTAAGGATTGATGTAATCATCAAAAGTTGAATTGATTTGGCAAGGGCCCAACTCTAACCAAGGGTTAACAACGATCTAGAAGGAGACTGTACCGAGCGTCGAGCAAACCTTCAAAGAGACCGATCAAAGAATCGCTCCCAGGGCCACCGTTCAGCCACAATGTGATAGGTGCAGTCTCTGGATTATGTCTAGCTTCGAAGAACCAGAAGAAGGTATGGGACTCGGGAGAGGTGTCGACATATCCAGAGTAGGATTTGACCCCCGGGGTAGTCTCGCAGACGCCCTCTTTACCGGGTTCCTTGTACCGGATGGTGACATTGTTTGCGGTTGTAAGGGTTTTGACCCCGGTGGGGTTTTTGGGTAGCTGCCGTCTGCCGACAGACGCCGGGGTTCTTCCTGGAAGGGCCCAGCTGGCTGCAACCAAGGGTAGCACCGAGAGCAATCCGTAGCCGCGCATGTTTACTAGGGTTGAACAGTCCACTCTTGGTCCCTCGTTTGATATATGTCCTATACGTACGCAAGGGAGAACTGCTATCCAGCAATAAGCAAGCTGGATATAAGTTACTCGCAACGTCTTCAGTCACTGGGGAGGCTAGCAGGCAGAGGAATATCCTCTGACTTTTATACGTCGGGCCAACAGACTTCCAGCATCGATCTAGGACCCGCACGGTGAGAGGAGAGGGGGCTGTACGCAGCCATTGGGGGCCTTGGATGCAATGTACATACAAACATTGGATTGCGATATCGACTAGTCACTTAGCCTGGTAGTATTCCCGGCATATGGCATGACTTGGTTGGCACGGACGGAATCAACGGAACATTCTGAACAAGCTTAGCCTTGAAGATTGCTCCATAATTATCCGCGTACGGTGTCACCATACATGGCTCATTTTCTCTAGGCAGCTTCAAACAATCCTGCTGCTTACCTGCTGTATCCGTCGGGTGGCTTCTCAACGCTTATCGCAGGATCCAAACGGAGCTTCCTAGAATGGAGAGGATCGACCGGATGAATCGATTGGCATGGCTACGTGCCTCTTCAACCCCGCAATTGTCGGGGGCAGGTCTGAGGAGTCAGGGCCAATGGCGATCATTCAGGGGCCGGCGCATTTGGCAACAGGGAAGAGAAACAGACAACATGTAGTCAGTCCTCATACCCATACCCCAAGAGGCGTCGACCACGGGAACAACTAAGGTTCACTAGATTGGCTCCTCCGTTATCGACCTGCCAGATGAGGGTTAATGTACAGCGGAAATGTCCGATGTTACAATCGGGACAGAACATTACCCCTCAAATGTGTTAGTTAGGTACAAGGTCCATACATACAGTAATAAAAGAAAGTAGGATATTGAAAGCTTTCCCTCTCTATCAATTTAGATAACCACCACGAGGTGTATCAGGCAACAGCTGGTAAAGGAAAAAGCTAAATAAACAATAAGAGAAGCACCAAGCCACACACCCAACCAAGGACTCGATGACCTCACTTATCCACTACGATTCGTCACTTTCCGGGAGGGAATGACTAGATTTAGATAGACAGAATCCAGAAAGAACTCTGTCGATCCTATACCGACGCCGAGACTCGCACGGCATGCTTAATTCAGCCTCACCAGAGATGCCGGATGCATGTGATAAAGCTCAAGACAGCGATACTCAAAGGGTTTCCAGTTGTTGGAGAGAGAGCTCGCGGCTCGGTCGGCTTCATCGGAATGCTGCGCTTCTGCTTTCGGTCCGACTGAGCAAGAGACGGAGTTGGCATCTCACAAAAAACTCGTCCGAAGGGAAAAAA